TTTTTTTTCTGGCTTGATATTTGGCTGCAGTTAAAATTGTTACCCTCTCCTCTTAAATTCAGTTACAATAACCTACATTGTTCTTTTTCACTTGCACCGACAGAACATTAAAGTCCTTTTTATTTCCATGGATTTTTCATTGAAACAGATTTAAGCCTCGTCCTACCCATCATCGTCTCTTAAGTCACCTGTCAAAACATAAAAGAATGGAAAATGGAAGTTAATTTCAGATTTAGTTGATTTATCTGCTCAAGATATTTATCTTGGATTGAGATGTTCCTGTGTTTAAACTTCACCAGAATTGTTTCCAGCAGACCAAATGACAGGGGGATCTTTTTTATTACAGTTTTGCTAAAGCTGTAGAGGTAATCTTACCAAGGCACAGATATGGAATTTGATAGATTTATTAACCTTATGTTTTCTGAAAAAAAATTTTTTTTTTTGCCATCTTTACTGAAATTTTCATCACGAAAGCCTCAGATTTGATCTTGAACTTTATCTTAATTCTTAATCTTTACAGAACAGTGAAGTCAGATGGGATGAACCATACTTTTTGGCATTAAAGTTATATTTGTAATGCTTTAAATCAGCCCATATCTGCCCACACCAACCTATCTAGTATGAAGTATTGTTTTTGTTTTTCTTTTACCTTCGAGGTCAAAAAGGGGTGAAAATGCAGGTGATTCATTAGGATTTAAACTTACAAAACATATGCTTGACACGTGAACATATACAGTAATAGTATAAATTAATAGGTGCCTGTCAAACAGACATCATTTCCTTCTCATTATTTATTGTTGGGCTTTAAATGGAGACATAAGGCAGTTCAGCTGCAGCAGCAAAGTTTAGATAGGTCGAATATTAACTTGGGAACTTTTTCAGTTTAGGTTTTACTTGAAGTGCAAACAGATGAATGGAGACACATTAGTGAAGTTTCCTCTGCTGCACAAGCATTTAATGTTCAACGTGTAAGCTGAGCAGGTCGAAAACAGATGCATTTTAAGTACACTTATTTCTGTTCAGAAACCATGTTCAGGGTTACGTGTGAGGTCAATTTTACTGTATACAAATACCACCAGTTGATTTTGCTCCATATTTGAAATTGTGCTTGGAAGGTATGCTAGAACAATTTACAACAATGTCATGCATTCATATTTAAAACTGTATGATAAACATTTGAAGTTAGTGAGTTATTATTATTCTCTTTGAAGGGTTTAGCTTATACATTCCACATCTTCTGGAATAAATTATAACCAGTGTGATTTGGAAAGCATACTCAGAAAAATTATGCATCGATAGTTTGTGCATATTTGAGGGTAACCTCCCTGCACAGCTCAAATCCCCCCTCTGAAACTGGATCTATGCCATTCCAGAGCTATTGTGTGGATCAGTTACTGTTGTGATAAGCAGTAGTAATTAAATTCCCTCCATATGGAAGTGCAGTCTGGAAAGACAATTACACGCAATACAATATAACAATACCATACCTTCCATTATAATGTGATCAAATACGAAACTGGACTCTCATGAATCCGTTATGTTTAAGTTCATTAATCTCTATTTAATTTCTCTCCATTTCTCAACCTCAATTTAAGATTTTTTGGCAAAACCGTTACTACTGCAACCTTTTTTGTTCTTTAAATGTCAAACTTGTCTTCAGCATAGAGAAGCCAAACTTCAAATAATCAGAGAATCTGATAGTCTATAGTCTTTATTCTCTAACGTAAAAAAAAAAATTGGGGATACTGGTATCTCTACACATGTTTGTGTCATAATACCTCCAATTACCCTGAAACAAATGAAACTCAACCAGAAATAAAAACTCTAATAAAAACTGATGAAAAAAATATAAAACTATAAAAACTGGTTGCAGCACTTGCACTTCAATAAAGTAACACTATTGAAACGAGCCACTAAGTACTCTTTTGTTGTCTTTGGTGACCATTTGTATATTAAATCCAGACTGCAGTCTTGTGAACCTCTTTCTTTATCTTGAAAGTAAAGACCTCTGTAAAGAAGAGGTCAAGCCGTACTTGCTTATTGTTGAAGTACTTGAACTTAATAAGAGCCACAGCAGGTTGCGTCATCCTTTAACTGTGACAGGAACGCCATCAAAGCTTAAGAGAAAACTAAACGAACTGACAGACTGAAGAAGGTAAATCAGCTTTGGAAGGGCAGAAAAAGCCGTTGCTTTTCAGTGGTTTTGACCACCAGCAGAGATGGAGGGGTCAAGTATTTGATGACTGGCATTTTCTCACCCATAAATCTAATGTAAAAGAGTTGCAATGAAGATTAATGAAACTGTCAGTGTGTGTCACAAAACCTTAAGCTGCTTCATGGAGAGCTGCAGATCTAAATCAAATAAACAAACCCAGAGACCATATAGGTCATATAAATGCTTTCATTTGGACTGTTTTCAGCACTATTAATTTTTTACAGAATCTCCTAGCACATTCATTTTCTCACTGTTACACTGACACAAATAACTGGATTTTTTTCTTTGTTTTTTGGCAAACAAACTGCTACCACGCACATAAAGCTGCAACAGTGGTTCTGAACTTTCATCCAAAGTTTTCAGGCACAATAAAACTCTTAATGAGGGCTTTCTGAGAAGTTTTCTACACAATAATTAGCCCACAGTTGTTACCGAAAGCACACCCCCTGTATGCAAGAAAATGCTGGGAATTTAGAGTCAACGTGGAAAAGGCGAGAATTTAAATTTCTTCCTTCTGTCGTGATTCTGTTTGCCTGTCCATGTCTCCTTCCACTTTCTTCACTGCAAATGTACCATCAGTTAGCCAAACAACAATTTTCTCTATGGACTGAATTTCAGCTATCGTCATTAGTTTTTCTCTCTTTTCCTTTGTTTCTCTATGTCTTTCTTATCTCCCTCATATCTCTCCAGTGCCCCAGTAAAATCATCAACCAACCTGGCAGGGAGTTTGGCAGCACAAAGGACTTCCCCGATTCAGTCCTGCAGTTTGCCCGCAGCCACCCGTTGATGTGGCGGCCGGTGTATCCAGCCCTTCGTCGCCCTGTGCTTGTAAAGGCCAACATTCCTTATAAGCTGAAACAAATAGTGGTGGATCGTGTTGAGGCGGAGGATGGGCAGTATGATGTCATGTTTATTGGCACAGGTAAGTGCATTTTTATTACATAACTTTTAGGCATCCAGGTCCATTATAGACATCCAAGCACAGACACTGAATTATTGGAGCAGACAACACTATGTCTGTTCTGTAGCCCTTTAATTTTTCTGATTCTCTTTCAGATATTGGCACAGTGTTGAAGGTCATTGCACTAAACAATGGAAACAGTCTAGAGACAGAGGAAGTCACACTAGAGGAGCTACAAGTCTTTAAAGTAAGGCTTATTCCATTGAGTCGGTTAAATATACACTCTGTGATAATGTACTGTAGGATTCATCCATATTCCGGAAACGTGTTATCATAGCATCTCGTTTACTTTATCTTTTAAGATTTATTTGCAGATGATAGTATGCAAGAATTGTGCAAAAAGCTGGTTCATAAATTGTAAAATCTATGATTCTGCTCTTCTATTTCAACTCTTCTTTAAGCCTCTAAGTGCAACAACAGAAGTTAATTATTTTCAACATTGCAGGTGCCAACTCCAATCACGTCACTGGATATATCTGTGAAAAGGGTGAGTTAATCCAACTGTAGCTGCTACTTTCAGTGCCTGCTTCTGTCAGTTGACATGCAGTGTTGTCTACATGATGCCTTACTTCCTTTTTTCTCCTCATAATTTCAAACAGCAAGCCTTGTATGCAAGCTCTCCACTAGGTGTGGCGCAGGTGAAGCTCCATCGCTGTGAAACTTACGGGAAAGCCTGTGCTGAATGCTGTCTTGCCAGAGACCCTTACTGTGCATGGGATGGATCGTCCTGTACGCGATTCATTCCCAACAGCAAACGACGCTACCGCAGACAGGACATCAGACATGGAAACCCTGCACTGCAGTGTGTGGATCAGAATCTCAGTGGTAAGCTTGGCTGTAACTCTGCCCCTTTCTTTGTTTCTTCTTTGTTGATTATGTGGGACTGGCCACAGTGACTTCTTGAAGTAACCACTGTAAGGCTTTTCTCTGAAAGTCAAACAATTGAATCATCTGTCACATACCCCTTCATTGACTGGGCTTCACTGAATCAAGTAGTCTTTGTTTTTGTCATCTAGTGTGCATTACAATCACTGGATAAACAAAAGCTTACTAAATTGATATTTTCATATTCTAGTAGGGCTAGCTGTCATGATTAAAAAAGGAACCCACATGACATCATGGACTAGTGGTTAACCAATCCATCATGGGAGAGCTGAAACCTGAGACGGAGTGGTTTTTAAACTATGTTAGCTACAACCGCGTCTTAACGAAGTGTAAGGAATGGCAATATTTCAGACTTTTGTAGGACAACCCAGAAAAACATTGAAGTTGCTGATCATTCCACATCAAAGTGGCAATCAGCTGAAAAATGCATGACCTCTTTTCACTGATTTTAAGAGATTTAAGAGTAGACAGGAAGGACACCAGTGAGATGTCAGTCTCCTGTATACTGTACATCTCTTTAGAAATCAAAGGCCAGCTTCTTTTAGTTTGAAAGAATAAATGAACGTGGCTGTGCCTGTCTGGGTCAGATTATGTTTGTGAGACTTCTTCCACAGGATGACAACCATAGCGATTACAGTAGGAGGTCATTAAAACAGTGATTGAAGACCGCAGCTCAACCAAAATGATTCTCGGTCCAATGAATTTGATCTCATTGCCTTTGAGTGTCAGTGACCAGTCAGTTGCCATCTTCAAAGGAACTTTGGTGTAGCAATAAAATGAAAAGCTATCAGAGTCAGTCATCAAGCTGTTTGCATTAGTTGAAATGGTTAAATTGTCAGTTACATGTACTCTGATTAAATCTTGTTACCCTGCATAGAAATCAACATTAACTAGTCACATGCAGAATCCAATCAGGAGCTGACAGATGTGAAACAAACATTTTATCTGTTTGGAAAATGGAAAATTGGAAACTTTGCTTTTAACTTTATAAGAATTTAACCAGATAACAACTAGCTGAATCGAGTTGCCTACTGCAAAACAGATGAGTGGAGTCAGGTGAGTCAGTCTGCATCCCAGTGCAGACAGACTCACACTGGTTGCAACTTGCTGGCAATCTGTCTGTGTTTATAAATTGGACTGCAGTTATTTAAGAGTCCAGCCAATCTAAGCTGGACTGTGATTGTTTGAAGACAGGTCCCACCAGGTAACCCGTACAATCAGCTTGTAAATTAAAGTGGCCATCTCAACTATTTGCAGTTGGTCTCTGACTACAAAAAATACTATACTATCTCAGGGTAAGCTGTCCTATTTTTACTCATGTGACTGAGACATATTTGCCAAGTATATGAGACAAAGGTTTTACAATATGTTAGTGCATGCAGAAAACAACCTAGGATTCATTTAAAAACTAGTTCTCATAGTGTAAGCTTTGGGATTTGTGAAGTAGAAATATCAGCTAACATGCTGAGTTCTTGGCAGAAAATGGCTGAGTTGATACTGGAGATCAGGGTGAGAAAATGTGAAGACAGACAAGAAAAAGGAATTACATCACTGAGAATTGGGATAGAAAGAGTGTGTTTTCTTACCTAAGGGCACACAATGTAAGGGAGTGCACAGATGAAACACCCACCTGGTGAACCAACGTTTCTTTGTGCCTAAGTGTGAGGTTGTTTACATAAGTACTCAAGGGACAGACGTCTTCAGATTCCATCTCTTCATTGTTTATGTGTAGTCACATGACAAACTCTTGACTAAGTCAGTCAGAGTTTTATTTTATTCACTATATTGTCCGTGACTACACACCTAATATTCTAGTCTTTATATTTATCTTTATATTCATTATGTTAATGCTGTATAGTAGAAGGTGTCTTTGAGGAGAATGTAACCCGGATATAGGTAGTGGTACTTCTCTTCAAAGGTCTGGCCTCACATTGTCAGATAATGGTGAAGAGCTCAGTCATTCAGGAGGGAATGAATGTAGAGTCACTGTCCCCTGCCACAAAAGAAACCAGCTGAGATGATTAGACCCAGGACAGACTGAAGATGTTGGATGGATGGACGGATGGATGGATGGATGGATAGATTTCATTCTTTAATAAACTATTTGTCACTCTCTGTTTTAAAAAAAAGAAGACCTTGATGTAACAGAAGACAGAGTGGTCTTTGGTACTGAGAACAACAGCACCTTCCTAGAGTGTGTTCCTCGCTCCCCACAAGCAACTGTCACCTGGCTGGTCCAACGTGATGACCACAAGGAAGAGGTAAGATTCCCAGTGAACAACATTCAGGTTAGAATCAACACAATAAAAGGCCTGTCGATGTCACTGCATCCAAAATAGGATGAAGGTAGGAAGGTTTTGGCAAACAGTCAAGGGGTGGTATAAAACTTCTGGCAAAGAATGTTCTGAGTAATTGCCTTTAAAAGTTAGACTTGAGTGTGAGTTTGGCACGTGGTTGATACAGTTGACAACCATTTGACATGTGGTTGAAATTAAGCAGCTGCATTTCAAAGCAAAATGCCCAATCATTCTCTCTCTCTTCCATAAACTGTGAATTCTCTGCAAAACTTGACCACATGCCACTGAAAGTGTCACTCACTGTCTGCTGGTCACTGAGACTTAAATACAGTCTTTTTTTCTTTTCTTTTTAAGTCAGAAAATTATGTTGCTCTGTATGCCCAAACCCACAGTAATCATTCAACTGTTTGAGGTCATGCTCCTCCAAGCTAAACTGAGTGTCGTGGTCAGCCATGCAAGTATTAAAGCATTACCACCCTTCTCCATTTCCCTGCAAATAAACATCTGGCTGCCACTCTATCTGACAAGGCTGCCATGTTTTTGTTGGCATCAAAGGATGGTTGAAAGATAGGATCTGACGGGGGAGTTGGGAGGTAGATGGAAGAAAATATAGAAATGAATAGGGTTGGCAGAGAGACTTTGGGTGGCAGTATGGAAAGATTAGAGAATGTGAGGAAAGAAAACGGAAGAAAAATAAAAAATAAAAACAGTGACTGATCCCATGATATATTTTTGATGTTGCAAACCAAGTTGAGAAAACAATACAAACGGTTCTCCCTTTCTCTTTTCTCATAATGTGAAGTGAAGACTGAAAGCTTTCTTGTCCCGATTTCTTTGTACTGTGTTTACACATTGTTGGGCAGTCTTCAGTGTTTAGTTCTTTAAAGAACAATGCCTCTGTGGTATTTGCGCTGAGAAACATGTGCTATTTAAGGTCAAATCCTGGTCAGAACTCCTTTAGGGACAGAAATCCTAAAACTTTAAACAGAAATCAAGAATTAACCAACAAACAAACAAATCTCTCTATATATAGCAATAAATTAAAAAGATAAATGTTAGGTTAAGGATCTGATTGCAGTTATATAGAAAGTGCCAGTTAACTTTTTCATGCTTTTTTGATTAGCACATGTAGCTCTTTGCATTAGTCAGTGGAGATTTAACCAAATGTGTGAAAAGTTATTTCCATCACGTTGCATCATTATGACTTGACAAATTGAAGCAAACTTCAAGTGAAAAGCAGTGATGGTTGAATTGACTTAGTGAGGTCATTAATATGTTGTTGTATCAAATATCAGACACATATTTTCTATCTGCCACACTTAGGTGAAGCTAGATGATCGTGTGATGTCCACGGATCAGGGTCTCCTGTTTCGTAACCTTTTCCACCAAGATGAAGGCGTCTACATCTGCCGCTCTCGAGAGCACGGCTTCACGCAGACGTTGGCCCGCATCACCCTCGAAGTCCTCCAAGGGGAGACCGTGGATGAGCTCATGTCGCGTGGACACACAGGAAACTCTGACTCAATCAAAGACCGGTCTACAGGGACTTTCAGAGCCTGGATGCCTTGCAGCGCGTACAGCAGGGGCGGTTCATCAAGCCAAATCGGCCAGTCGCGCATATGGTTCAAGGATATCATGCAGCTCATCGGGCCATCAAATCTGCCGCACGTGGAGGAGTACTGCGAGAGGATGTGGTGCAATGACAAGCTGAGGAGGAAACACAAAAGCATGATAGAGAAGTACCGCCAAGCACAGGAGAGCGCCAGGAAGACTCGTAGCAAGAGCTCTGGTGAACGCAACAGGACGCCGCGGGATCTAAGGGCGTGGGAGGAGTGACAAAAAGAAGGCGAGGAGTGGAATATGAGAGCAAAAATGAAAGTGGGAAAAAAGACAAATGTTAGTTCAGGACAAGATAAATAGACAGGCATAAAGACCAGCCTAATAGTTTTTTGTAAAACCATGGTAGATCAAAGCAGCGTGTCTCTTTTGCTCATTTTAACAAAATGAATTTTAGTGTGTAAAGAAAATTAGTGTATAAAGAATCTGAAAAAATGACAGTCATGTTGGATGGAAGCACAACTTGAGCTGAAAAACTGCATGTGAAAGTGTATGGGAAGTTTGGGGTATTATGAGGTTAGTGCATAACTCGTGTGTTTCTGGCTTTCACCCGAAAATAGACCGAAGTGTTCACCTGTCTGGAGGGATGGCACAAAAAGAGACTCCAACTGAACTAAACGGGTTGTTGCTAATCCTGATCCTGAACGGAAGTTAAAAAAAAGAGATCAGAGACAATTTTTCAACTACACTCTGAGGATGCTTTTTAAAATCCCAGTCACTGAGGAGTTGTCTGCCTTCCCCACCTTTGTTCTTTCGTATTTCTAGTGTCACTGAAATGGCAGGAAATGTTTTGATTTAATCAACTTCTGTCTTCACTGAGAAAACCTGCAAAACTTCTCATTCTCTGATTTAAGTGACATACACGTACCTGCGGGGTGATTTTAGTTACAGCTGGTTTCCTACTTTTCAGCCTCATTGACTCTTCAATGGTGGTTTGTGATTTCTTGTATGTAATTGTTAATTTTCTTTTGCAAAGAGCACACACACACTCATGTCTGGTTTGCTATCCTCGTGGGGACATCCCATTGACATAATGCTTTCCCTAGCCCCTTACCCTAACCCTAACCATCAAAAAGGAATGCCTAACCCTGATCCTTACCCTAAACCTAACCATAACCTAATTGTAACCCTGACACTAAAACCACATTTTGAGTGTGAAAATTGCTTTCAACCCCAAGGGGACCTGGATTTTGGTCCCCACGGTGCAGAAAGTCCCCACCAGTATAATAAATATCAGATTTTGGTCCCCACCAGGATATATACACACACACACACACACACACACACACACACACACACACACACACACACACACACACACACAC